TTTCCATACATAAAAAGTGACTGTTAACACAACTTTGTTTATTTTTTTTTTATCACTGTACCTTTTCTATTGACTCCAGGGTTTCGGTGTATTTCTCCTCAGTTTGTCTGATCTCTGTGAGACAGCAGCTTCTGATGTCAGTCTCCACCTTGTGAAACGCCTACACACACACACACATACAGGAGAACATCTGTTAGTGTCACCACTGTGGGCTGTCGTGTTAAGTCATCCACCAGATTTGGCTCCAGTTTCATAGCGGTGACTCAGCGTTCGAGGGTCAAACAGAGAACGTCTAATGTGACTAAAACTAGACACACAGAAACCACGACCGGTTACAGAAACCAGCGAAGGGAGAGGGAGCAACTGACCGGAGGAGGGAGGGCCTCTGTCTTCATCAGGTCCTCGTAGATATCGCCTCCATCTTCATCGTCGTACACGCAGTCGTACAGGTCCTCCTCGTCCTCCACCTCGTTTTCACTGCGAAAGCACGCGTGACATGAGAATGTTGCACGCACATTTTCAGTCTCTCAGAGTCAAAAACTGTTTTTTTAATTTGTTCATAATGTTAAATAAAAAGATTCATTTGGATTCATTTTTAATTTAATTTGATGTGTTATTTTTGTTACAAAATAAAAAACACAGATGTTACGTACTCAATGAGATCCACCAGGTGGTTGTAGATATCCTCATCTTTAACACTATCTTCTGTGGGGAAAGGCCTTAAAGATCAGAAGAGAAATAGTTTAAGAGATTGTGAAAATTATTTGATTTGAGTTTCACGTTTAATGTACTTAAAATTGCATTGTGTTTCAGTCCACGCCACACACCTGATTCCAGTGTGTTGTGCAACCACTGAGTGTGACAGCTTGGAGAGTGCGTCCATAACCTGTAATGAAAACAAAGATAACGTTTCAGAACCGACTCCAAGGGGTTGCATTTCTCATACACAACGCACGAGGGCGGCATTCCCAAACATTACACAGCAGCGCGCACCCGACGACGAAGAATACGTCGGAATAGGTTGAAATGACTTGGAAACTTTAAATGTAAAATAATTGAAAATAAAATTATCAGTTCGTTTTATCGAACATTTTTACAAGTTACCGCTGTTTTTGTTTGTTCTTCCACACGGCTAGATAAAAAAAACAAACACACATTTACCAGTATTTGGACATGATAGCTGTGTTAGCATGATGCTAACAGGAGGACATGAACGTGAACCACCGTGTGTGGCCCTCCGGCTGACGCTAATGCTGATAATATGACATATTTCACGGTGTCGTGTACTGTGGCACCGCAGCCCTTGAACTTTCACTGCTACGTAGGACCTGAACTCGCCCACTGTATTCAACTCCATTATCCACGTCAACAAACTCAACAGGCGGCACACAAAACTCAGTTTTTGGTCACAGACAGCAGTGACGTAACTTGGCTCCGTGTTGCCAGATGTGGTGAGAAAAACACGCAAATAAGTGTAAAAAAAAAAGGAATAAATAAATAAACGACACAATGAAGGATAGACAAAAATAGACACACACGACACGCTAAATTTAAGCATATTATATCGGTATTTCTAACACAGAAATGTGCAAAC